TCTCGAGCGCCCCTGCTCCGGCCCGCACAGCGTCCACGACGACGCCTACCCTCACCTATGATGCTTAGAATCCCCGTGTCCCGCCGTCGCCGGTCTCGGCGTTCTGGGACTATTTTTATTTTACTACTTAGCACTAAACCAACATCGAAGAAGACGGTTTCGTCCATTTTGATAGCCAGATGTATGTGGGAAAGCACTGTGGCGGCCGTTACGGTTTCTTTTTCGGTGAGTGAAGAAGGAAACAGGGCAAAAGGCGACTCATGACTTCAGTCACATGTGCTTCGGAGCTCCTATCTAGTTGCGTTGCTGAGCGACAATGAAACAGGCGACATTAATAGAATGCGTAGGTGTGGCCAACACCCATCTTCACTTAGCCTAGCCCTGAGAAGCGGGCCTCGCAGAGGGCAGCGATGTCTATCTTTCGACGTGGGAGTCTCCGAGCGACTACCGCCATCCTCCTTTGTTGTCAATTGTTCCACGGATTGCTTAAAAGAAGAATATTCCAGCCTGTCAGAGTGAGTATTCATTTGGGCAGCCTGTGGGGTGGGGAGGGGAATGGGGACGAGGGTTGGTGTTTGTTCGACGTGGTACGGGATTTGGTTATTGCACCTTTTCTGTCTCCTTCCCCCCACGATGAGGTGGGCTGTTGTATCCCTAAATAAGGTTGCCTAGACATCCCAGGCGACTGCCGAACTGCACTATGGGTCATGGTTTTGTTTAGTGAAAGAGCGACCCGGGTTAGCTGGGCTGCCTGCGGGATTGCGTGTTGCCCTCTGTAGGACTTTTTGAAATTGAGGGAGAACGAGGAGGACAACAGAATCATCGGGCGTGAGAACACACAACACCACTTGTCGAGGCGGTTACCAGGGTGGCCGCTAGGCGAAGCCTGGCTTTGGGAGCCACAGATGAGAGTTGGGCGCAAATTAAGGGCCGTGCAGAGCCGTCATCACCTGCATCATGCGACATACCACACCCACACGGTTTACCGCTTAACTAGACATCCTTACATCCAACTACTGAGATACAGAGGTTTGAAATACATGGTTATCAGACAAGTCCATTTTCGTCTTTTTCGACCCTGAAAAGTGACGTTTAACATACCCCTGTTTGATGAACTGTATTGAACTGTAAAGCCAGAGAAGGTAAGGTAGGTCATCCTTCATATATTATCTTCGGAAGTTAATTCTCATCGCGTGCTGCAAGAGGGCCTTGGGAACCGGCCCAGGCAAAGCCTTCTCTTGCGCTGTAAAGACTTAGACTATTCTTCCTGGCGCTTGAGGCATGCCATGGCGGTCTCCCATTTTTATCAGTTTAATTCGAGCCCTCACGCTTGTTTAGTGTTCTTGGCTTCCCCATCTGCATTTTAACTGAGTCAGTAAGAAAGGACACTTTTACTACGACAGCAAGCCCAGTGATCCTACTCTTGCCGATGTGCACACTTCAGCAGGGCTGACCTCTTGGTAGTGATTTTCTAGGTCATGCAGTCATTTCTTGTTGAACAACAATCCCAGTCTATGCGGTCTGTCTTCGGGGGGTCAGCGTTCCAAATATCACATCCTTGCTGAGTTCTGTTCGTCTACTTCATACCTACTTTGCACCTAGTAATCTCTTCGCATAAAAGTTGTGATCCGTCGAGCAATAACCACTTAATTAGTCTCCCAGACTTCACCCTTGACAAGTTCTTGTGAGCGTTTTTCTATCCCTTTCTTCGACGGCAGATCACGTAGTGACCTGGAGTCACACAATATCTGGTTGAAACAAGTGTTAGGTCGGCGTTCACCTATCTAGCCTGATTGCCTGGCGGAATATCGATAATTCTTTGCCTTAGCCTCGCAAACGGTTCCGTGACGGTGAATGATCAGTGATCATGGCTTGGTGGAGACGGAGATTCCGATTCCGACCTCCAGTCCGTTTAATTTGGCGTAGGGCCCGCTGCGACAGCAAACAAGCTAAAAGTGGCCATCCCGATGCCCCTCATCCTTGTTGTCAGTTCCTCAATAAAGCCAATATTTCATGACTCTGGAGATGGAACTGGGTTTGAGGAAGGTGAGACCGACCGAGACTTATGATTCGATGCTCCCACCTACCAGACACAGCGCTATCCGGGCTTATTTTTGCCATGCAAACTGAGGACCAGCATTCCAATTAGCAGGGTATCGAATATCGGCCGGTGTCAATTCTTGGTCGGGAAATGCATGAAATGTTGTGAGGTCACTAATCACATGCGTTTTATTATGGCTCTGGCCCACAGGCACCAGTGTTTCAGTTCGCAGACTGGTGGGGATATCTGCTCCACAGAAACTACCTAACACCATTCTCAGCCAGCTTCTTTCCGATATCTAGTGCTTGAAGCTCACACCCAACACTCGACGACCACGGCTTAGGACTTCTTAGACACGGGAGCCCCGGTTGTATATGCAGAAGGGTCCACATATAAAAGCTCAAACGGAGGCCCCGTATCCAATTATGGGATTCGAGTCTCAGCCGGTTTATTCACGACGCCTCGGTATCAGGCGTTAAGACTTGTGCAGCCATGCATTTCTACACTTATTTCTCCCACATAGTTTTAGGGGCATACCTCCTTCGAAACAATATATATTTTTATAAGAGAGTACACCTCTTTACGCCTACGGAATAACTAGTCGTTGTCCGATGGTAAAGTCAAAATTCCGAGTCCAAGCTCGGGACAGTGGAACAGTCATCAAGATTAACGTCCAGGACCTGCTGATGGTTTAGTCATTACACAATTTTCATGAATGCCTCTATCACTCCTAAAACAGCTACCTCTGCCTGTGTGCAGATATTTAGAAGTGGAGCAATTATTTTCTCCCGCCGTCACTGCAGGTCGACCACGCGCAAGATCCGCTGTCGCAAAGGCCGCTGTCGACTTGGCAATAAACGCATTCGACGCGGGCGATGTCTGATGACCGCGGTCCTCACCACCTATTCACTGACTGGCATCTCGCTTCAATCCCAACTTCGCTCAGATTCTCCTAACTCCCTGAACTCAACAATGACCCACCGTTTGGCAAGGCCTCTACGATTTACCTTTTCCTGTTTTCGGCTAACGCAACAAGGAGTCTGTTGAGGCCTAGGTCAACCAAGTTTGCCGATAGTTATGTTCCTTGTTCAAAGAACTTGAGAGTAGCTCGCGGATTACCACAGAAACTCCCAGGTAGATTTGAAGGCGAGTTTAGGAGCCGTCGGCCAGTGCCCTACCCGAGCCCAACTAAACTGGCTGTGGATAAATGCATACGTAAACTCAAGCAACCTTAAACATATATCTAGGACTTTTCACTCGCCCTCAATTTGACCTGACCCCTTGATACACCAAATTTTCCCCCCTCCCCGCTTTCGAATAAAGTTCAATTGTTTGAAATAAATATTGCTAAATCGCTTTGGCCTTCGTCTGGCACAGGCAGAATATGCGATGTTCGTCTAGTTTGTTGTTGTGAACGAATCCCCCGGAACAAAGGACGACATGGAAGGAATGCGTGTATTACCACGCTATCTCATCCGTATTCATGCAAAACCTAGCAGATGGAATGGCAAAGTCGACGCGAAACGGAAGCTACCATGTATCAGCTAATACAGACAATACCTAGCATGCCAGACATTGCATGCACAGACTCAAGCATGAAGATTAGCATTGTCAATGGAAAGAAGCTGGGATGGATCTGTCCGAAATTTCATACAAAAAGCTTCCCACTGAACTTCCTCTATAGGTCCTTCGACTTTGGAAGGGCAACTAGGTTGGTTGGCTTCTGCATGCAACGGCCTAAAAATTAAGACCTCCAGTATTCAGAAACGTGAAAATCAGAAGGTGCGCAAATCGAGGGCGACAGTTCGAAAGGCGGACGCGGCTTCAAAACCCCCAAGCGATGGCTAAGCCAGATGGGGTAGCACTTAAGTACCTAATTTCAGTCGCTAACGAAAACAGCACATTTCAGCCCTTACAGGAAAGCGTACCACTAGCCGCCGGACAGTCAACAGAGCGAAACCTATCAACCCTCCTGGCCACCGCCGCAAGTCGTCTCTTAGGTTTCAAAACTACAGCAGACCACACTGGCCCGCATAATAATGAGATATACAATGAGTGAAATTAGATGAGACAGCTGTAACACCTGCGTTCACACACACTGCTCCTTCCTATACTGTCTATGAGGATCCCCATGGTTGAACACATCCCAGATACTCTAAGTTCCCGCACAAAAGTAGAATCCTGTCCAGTGAGAACGGCCGCAAGCGACGAGGACCGCTAAAGTTCCGGATATGGCGGCGGTAGTAATCTTTTATAGTGAAGCAGGTCTTTGTGAATCTACCCCACTCTGTCACCAAGTTCCAATGGCAAGACGACTGGAGGTGGAAGTGAGCACAGATGCTGGAACCTAAAACCACGGCCACGCGCACCATGCACACTTTGATCCCTAGAAGTCCGTGAAACAGCCCCAAATAAGGGGAGTCGCGGATCTCATGTTCATGAGTGTCATAACAAGCACACCAGAGCCAACGCAGTCTAGTCCTAGGTCCTAAGTAGGACCGAGCAATCCTGTCGACTGGCAGCCTTCAAGTTACCGGGCCAGTCAGTCGTTGACACATAACGGGTGGCGGATGACGCATTTGGGTCCTGTTCATCCTGGTTACAGCGGGTGGAAACGGGAGAGTACACAGTGATGGAAAAACCTACACTTAGTTCGTACTACCTTAACCGAGTTTTAACCATGAATCCTAAACATATCAGTAAGAACACGCAGAGGTTACGTCCGTGCATAGTACCCTAGTTGGACTTCAGAGAGCTCCGAAATTCCATCTGTCGTTGTGCCGTGGATGAGGTGATGACTACCATGAAAAAGCAAATAAAATGTCATTAGTTATTCATGGGTTGAAGCTGCGTGAAATATAATAAACTTACTGCAGTGCAACAACGGAAGCAATCTAAATAGGGAACAGAGAGGCACAAAGTAGATTGCAAATTTTGATGAAACAACCCCGGTCCATTGCTACAAAGTGTCTAAAATTTTTGAAATATTGGGGAAAAGACGTATTGCTGAGCTTTCAGAATAGCCCGATCCGTTTGGTTGAGAATCTTTCAGGAGGACTCCTTTGTCTGTGTCGGTCAAGTTAAGCTGCTGTTTCCTTTCGTAGCGCTTCGAATTCCAGAGGTAAACCAGCCTAGTCCAAAGGCCACGACACATAAGGTCGAGGTGGAGCTCAGGAGGATTATCATAGAAGGGGGCTTCCTTGGCAAACTTGTATACAGACCTACGAAACGATAATATCTGAGTTAAAATGAATAATTGGGTCAGTGGTCATAATAAAAACAGGAATGTAGAGAACAAATAAATAAATCGACGTGAGAAGCCCGTGGAATAGACGAATAAAGTTGTCCTAAGACAGTAGGTATGTTGATGCTTGTTGTCCTTGATTGGCGGAGTAAACCTACAGTCCAGACAACCAGTTAGTTCCTCTTCTTCATTTTAAGAACCATATGTGACAGTTCTTTACCATTAATCCAGAGTAAGGTACTCACCAACAAAAAGATACTAGCCTAGTCTTTGGTGATTATAACGAAGGCGAATGAATGGTTGCTAAGCAAGCTTGCAAAACGAAACCCAAAAAACGGTCGAAAATGCTTGTCAGTTCAGGGATGGTGTGATTGAGATTTCGCGTAGCGCCCGCCACGAATTAGGACGTCGACCGTGTCTGTTGAATGTCTCGAGTCTTACTTAAGAGACAGAAAATCAAAGGCGTGTACTAGATATTTGTGTTCATTTATGGACATGGCTTCTGGACACGTCATATTGAAGGATCAGATGCGTTTGGAGTAAAAAACAATAGGACGGAAAATCGATGAGTCATCATACCAAACAGAGAAGAAATAACAGAGCTTGCCGGATAATATCTGCGGACGGTTTGAGTTGTCCACGTTGCATCATACTCTGGGCGAAGAATAGCCTGCATCGAGCTTGAAAGAAAGGAATCTGCATGGCAGTGGCCAGGCGCATCTGGCGTAAAGATATGGCACCAGCAATTTCAGCCTACAAGTAAACTGCGTATTATTAAAATGGGTAGTCTGAAGACGTGGTTATGGGGTCCAAGATGGGGCAGCCGTACGCCTCTGCCTTCCTCAGATCATGGGGGAAGAGGTTTAAAAATGTGAGGTGAATGCGCAACATGGTCGACACTGATCATGATAGCAGACTGTAGGCCGGGGAGTTTCCATGCAGATAGAGGACTCCGTCTTATCACGCTCTACGAAAAAGTCAGGCTTGTATTGCCGTTATTCCTCTGATCAGTTAATTGCCTCTGTTCATCCTCCAGCGAACAAGGCCTGCTGTGGTAGACGGGTGGCATGCATGGGACATGTTCTGGCAGACAGAAGCCGTCAAACAACTTGGCTAGTCGAAAGGGCATGAAGTTCATTATATGACGGTAAAATAGTCCACATTATACATATTTCCGACCGCGAAAGGTCAATGAAGAAAAGGCCAGAGCCTCCGCGGGTCTAGACAGGAAGACGACCAGCTCCGGGGTCAGTTCGTCAACTACTTCAAGTCCCCAGTTGCCGCCGGAAAATTTGAAATATAAAAGGATGCTAAAGTTAAGCTTTAAGAGGGATTGTTGTCCCGATTTACCACTTTATTTGTACCGGCTATCCACAAAGCCGTTTTCGTCGGCTGCAAAGCCAGTACCACGAACCAGTATGATCCATGCTCTGCGATCGCACGCCAAACTCTTAACAATTGATCCCCAGCTGACGTTCCAGACCCGGAAACCTAAGACTATCGGACACAACTGCTCTCGACCTGAACTCAAACACATTTACTGCCATTTATAAAGGCAGTGTCACCAAATCGGACATTTATTCACCGAAAGATGATATCGAAAGAGAGTTCCTCTAGAGTCGGAGCGACCAAGTCATCAGGGGAGATGACATTTTGCATCACCAGCGGGTGTCCCGGGCTGAGGTCGACCGAAATGTCCTGCTTTGGTTCTTTTCAAGTCAAAAAAGCGCGGATACCAAGGTTCGCAGCCGTGGAACAGGACAACTTCTACAGCGGAATCGGGCAGCATACCCTCATGCTCCGTTAGCTCTTACTGCGCAAGTACATGCGTCCTAAAACTGCCATAAAATGATATGCAGTAACTGAATGTGGTCATTTATTCCCTCCTTAAATTTACTGTTGGCAGAACAGAAGAACCGAAGTAAAAATAACTGTCGATCGCATCAAAGCTCCCGTCACCGGCAAGGGAAACATACCATGAGTTGTGAAGCTGTTGAGCGATACTATGGTATCCCCAGCGTCTAGGCGTAGGCCCAATTTTCCGGGGCCAAGTACTATGAAGCCAACGCCAAATTAGGTTCCTCCGAGGCACTCCAAAGGAGGATGATATCCTCGGCACATACAAGATCACATTTTTTTCATACTACTATGGGTCTATTTGAACTATTTCAGCTTACATGGCTTGCCTGTACACCGCACCCAATTTTACGTTACAAATAGAGCACTAAAAGGCTCACGCCCATGTCGCTCACTAAACTTAAGTTAATTGAATTGAATGGGGGCGAATTATTGGCCTGCCAAGTTGCGCTTACGGTTTTGAGCGTCGCAGACAGTCCCATCTGTTAGACAAGCAATCAGGACCGCTGAGGACACGCAGTCTTGTCGGACGCCCGGGTTGAGAAGTAGCCGCTCGCAATAGTGCACCCAAACTTTTATTTTTATGAACTGAAAATGTGCCGATGCAGACCAATCCGACCTAACTAAATGCATTTCAGGCTAATTGGGGTTACACATACTTTGTGCGGGTCGGCAAACAACATGGGTATGCCAGGAACTGGATGAATACAGTCGTTACCGATGAATAAAAACGATTTACTCCATGAGTTTCGTCGCAAAGATAGAAAACGAGAACCGGTTCAACAAACGCGCTAAAAAGACGTGGTGACAGAATAATGAAGGTGAGAAATATGAAGTGAAATAATTAGAAACCTACGCCACTGATGGCAGTAATAAAAGTCAGGAAGAGTGGTTTAGGAACAAAAACTGTTAAAATTTATGGAGGGTGTGTAAATTTTAGAAATTTCGGAATGACACCACTGATAACCGGAAACGACAAAGATGCAATGATCGCTGGCCTTCGCAAGAGCCTTATGAGCATGTGGCTCAATTCGGCGTGAAAATATGACTAAGTACATCAATGGTTTGCCTGGAGACATGGACCCGAAAGGCAGGGTCGTAGGGAGTGTTAGATGGCAGAAAATTCACCTGCTTCGTCGGGACATTTACGAAAAACACATCATCGCGTTAAATAAAGCAACCTCACTGCGGTGTTATTATGGTAAGGCTAGTGTAAATGCGCCCAGAGTTAGGTTGCTAAAAACTGTCGAACCGCTGTGGCAACCGAAGTGGACATTTAAAATGAGAATTTTTTGGAGAAAACCAAAAGACATAAAAACATACAGCATCCTCAAATCTGTCGCCAAGACACGAAAATCCGCCGCCAAGAGTGCTCAGCCAGGACATGGCTTCCAGAAGAATTATATGTTTGTAAAGAAGGCGGACAACTACATAGTACCTAAAAATTAGTGACGTTAAGTAGTATTACACACTAACAGTCATACCCTGAATTATTCAGTTCGAAAGTGTTAAAAGGCGGAGGACAAAATACGTAGATATCTCCAAAATTTGCCCGCATTTCTTGAAAGGCATCTTCCGACCGCTTATGAATACGTGCGCGTACTTCGCTGAAAACTTTTCCGCGCAGCATAATGAGACGGATAGTCGAGGCAGGCAGTGAAGATTTTAACGAACAAGGTCCACATAACAAGAGGGAATGCCGTACAGTAGAGCATGCAAGAGCAGACGGTTTGAAGAGGGTAGGGTAACGGTCTATTAGTTCTACGCGAATAAAACGGCGCAAAAGATGCCAACAGGGCAATATAAACGTCTCTTGGGGCAGTTCAGAGGTGCATGGACCGATGATTACGGCCGGCAAAGGATTAAAACCGCTGGGTAATTGTGTAGTTGTCAAGTCTTTCGTGCAAAAATCCATCTTGTGACTTCCTCGATGAGTATTACCAATGCACAAACTGAAGTCGAGCTTTTGACACAGGAAGGTCGAAGAAAAACCTAAAAGGGATGTAATACATATGTTGTCACACAGGTTGGGTAGAAAAATCAACGTCTGCAACAGCATAAGGATGATTCAGCAGGTCTTAATCGTCTGTTGAACAGAAGGGCATTTTATGCATCCAGACCTGCTGCAACCGACTAAAAATCCACAT